AGCAAGAACATTCAAGGCAGAATGTGGAGACACAGGGTCCTGGGGGTAGAGCTGGTGGTTCGGATCAGATGGAAGCACACAAGAACATGAGGTAGAGAAATTGTTGTAATTACTCTGCAAATACCTATACGTCCGGGGCTGAAATAGAAAGATGAGTCGATGACAGAAAAGATATAGTCAGAACAATAAGAAAGGATACAGAAATTCATCCTATGAAGGATTTCCAGAATGAGGAGAAAACAACATGAGAAAAATAAACCTTCACTGTTACATGTGTGAACTAAAATAAAATTTTATGGCTCCTCCCTGCCCCCCACCAGCTGACTAAATGGACCCCCTTGTGGCCAAAGGAATATCCTAAAACTAAACTGCCTGCCAGAAGGAAGGAGATCAGACACGCCTTGTCATGCCCCCCTCCCTTCTTGGGGGAGATCATTTTCTCTTTTTTTTTTTTTTTATATTGAGACAGAGTCCTACTTTTGTTGCCCCAGTGATAGCAGTGGGAGTGCGTGGCGATTCAGCCTAGCTCACAGCAACCTCAAACTTCCTGGGCCTCAAGTGATCCTCCTGCCTCAGCCTCCCCAGCAGCTGGGACTACACGGCATGCAGCCACCATGTCCGACTAGGGTGGGTGGTGCTGTATATAATTTTTACGTATGGCCAATTAATTTCTTTCCATTTATAGTAGAGACGGGGGTCTCACTCTTGCTCAGGCTGGTTTCGAACTCCTGACCTCGAGCAATCCGCCCGCCTTGGCTTCCCAGAGTGCTAGGATTACAGGCGTGAGCCACCGCGCCTGGCCTGGGGACATCTTTTGTAAGTCATTAACAGGCCTAAGGATATGCAAGACACACCTGCAGGTCCTCAATTTACACAACAAATGGATGTCAGGTGGCTTATCTCTGATAAACAGCTCCTTATGTTGAAGCATTCCAAGCCTTTAGACAAAGCTTCATGTCTTTAACCAATTACAAGGCTCAAGATCCTCCTGCCTCAGCTCCCGAGTAGCTGGGACTACAGGGCATGCGCCACCATGCCCGGCTAATTTTTTTTCTATATATATTAGTTGGCATTAATTTCTTTCTTTTATGTAAGATGACCGAGGTCTCCTCTCTCTCTTCTCTCTCTTCTCTCTCCTCTCTCTTGCTTCAGGCTGGTATCCGAACTCCTGACTGGTACGCGATCCTCCCGCTCGGCTCCCGAGCTGCTAGGGATACAGGCTGAGCACCGGCCGGCCTTTTGAAATAAATTTACTTGATCTCCCACTCTCCGTGCGACGTCTCTGTCTTGTCCATCGGGATCCACTGCTGTACACTTGCTGTAATGGTCTTGGTCCCCCATTCTGCAGAGGATAAGCCATGTTCACCCCGAGACATTGTTGGACTGAAATGAATGAGAACACCATATGAGCACCGTAACGTATTCAATGCAAAAAAAAAAAAAAAAAAAAAGCAAATCTGTTAAATT